CACGCCCCGCCCCTTGGGGAAATGCCCCGCCCCCGGCGCTCTGTGGGAGCCCAGGGCCTCACCTGGCACACGCAGGTTCCCAGGCCTCTAGCTGTTTTTTGGCGTCCCCATGGGCCACGTGAGAGTGCTCCTGAATTAGCAAACGTTAACCGCACATACCCCAGGGTTTGTCGCCTTTGAGAGTAGCATGGCGGACAAGGATGTGAACACACCATAGATCTGTGTCTCGCAGATTTCCCCAAGGCCCTCTGTAATCCCCCCACCATCACCCCTCACTGGTGTGCTAACATTTTAGGTTAATTTGCAGATCATATTCGGTGGTGTCTGGCTGTCAGTTCTTTTTCCTCAGGAACTCAATTGACACAGATCTTGCCATATTTGCCTCCCAAGTGATCAGCACAGAGCAGTTTTTGTCCTTCTTTGATCTCTTTTAGATTTTTTGTCATCTTATGAACCAGATTCATCTGCCAGTCTCGATCTCAAGTCTGCCAAAGCCTCTACTTCATAAATTCACTTCCAACCATGGTGTTCAACAAAGCCACTTCCAAGCTCTTGTACCCCAGGCTAGACTTTTCAACTTGGGTCTGTCTTGAACCCTCTTAGACTTGCAACTTGGGATCCCGACTCTGACCCCCTATGGCTCAGCCCTAGTTACACATCTCACTACCCATAACAAGAACCTTGCAACTCCTGCCACCATAATAGTAAGAGTCGCAATAATAATAATTAATAATAATAGATCCGGTGCATCACCCAAAACCCCACAAGCCTGGAGCCCTCTGCTCAGCTCACAGATGGTTCAACCAAAGTCGCTTCTCTGCCGCTCAGCTGGGCGGTGTCTGGCTTTAAGAGCAGTGTACTGTTTCCACACAGCTTGGAGGGCCTCTGAGAATACTCCACGATTCTGCTCTTCAGGTACGTGATCTTCTCTTTACCTCTTAGGTCTCAAGAGCCTCTTCCTCCCTCCTGGAGGCGCTGTTTCAGTTTCAAGACAATGACTGTACACCATCTCCTATTCAGTGTTTTATATTTCACCTTTTTTACAACATCCCAAAGATCATGCATGTTGCATCCCATTTTAAAAACCCTTTATTGCTGTCCTTGAATGAATATTCCAATTCCTCCATCTTGTCTTCAAGCCCTGATATTTTGGTCTCCCTGTGATCTGTTCTGCTGGCTTTCCATTTCATTTCACTTACTGGGGTTTTCTTTCCCAGCACCACTTCCGTTCCATTCATATCCTACATTGACTTCCTTATTTCATTCAGCTGTTTGTGTTCTTTGGGATTTCATTCAGCAGTTTGCTTATGCCTTCTTTCATTTCTATGAATGGATTTATCATCATGCTTTTTTTGAATTCTTTGTCTGGAATTCCATCTAGGTCACTCTTATTGAGGAACATTGCTGTAGGATGGGCAGAACTTGGAGGAGACATGTCTTATTTTGTTGTTGTTTTCCTTCTGTTTTTACATTGGGACCTGCATATCAGGAGTTAGGTGGTTGATTTATTATTATTGTTGTTGTTAAGATAATGTTTGCTCTTTTAGTTAGAAGTATTTGCAATGTTTAGGAAGGACTAGGTTGTAGTGGGGCTGAAGTGTTGTTTCCCTCTGATAGACTGGTGTTTAGGGAACCAGGCTCTATTCCCAGCTCTCCCTTGCTGGTGAAGAATAAGTTTCTACTATTTATAGCCTACCGATTTCATGGTACTTTGTTGTAGCAGACCAAATGGCCTAAGCCGGCAAGTCACTATCTAGGATTAGACCCACTATGAGAAGAAAACAGCAATAGTCACCTATGCAACTCACCCCTGTGTGGAGCTGAGGAAGCCTGCGTGACAGTGAAGGTTAAATGAGCGAGTCTGGAATCAATGTGTATTGTTGACATCATCACAGCCATGTCAAGGACCTGACGCCTCAGACCCATGGGAAGTGACAAAGCCTTTTCCCTGGGATGAGGTTGGGAGAGACCAGTGCGTACAAGTGTGAGTGTTTGTGAAAATTATCCAGTATGTGGAAAAGTTAGCACCTGCAGCTTCCTCCTTTCTAGGTTTTCACAGCCTGAGACTGCTTACCCTCAGAGGCCTCCTGCTGAGCCGACCCCCTCCCCAGGTTTGAGTTGGTGGTGTTCCATCAGAGCGCCTGTGGCCCGTCTGACCCCAGCTTCTCTGCACATGTCTGTTTCTTCATTACCTCATCACCCCAATCAGGGTTACAGCATCAAGACATGAAGGACACAGCACACCCTCAAGCAGTAATCGTTTAAGGGAATAAAAGGACATTGACAGCTCTGTGAGAACTTGTACATTAGTTATTGCCGGTATAAATGGAAACAAAAGGAAAGAAGAAAAAGCACACACTCAAATTCGTGGTTAGTGGTTGACGGAGAGCAAGCATGGGGTGGGCTGTAGGAGCAGAAACATGTTAGGGACATGAAGAACAATTTAGAGTAAAGATGGGTAAAGGGGCATTGTCAGAGGGGCACTCCTCTCTGAAGGAAGCTAAGGCACAGGGACCCTGAAAATCAGGCCAATTATGCTCTTCAGGCAAAGGGAAACCAAAGAAAGAAAGAATAACGAGAAAGGGACAGGGAGCCACAACAATATAGGACAAGAGCAAAGAAGGCCAACCTGGCCTTGTAAGTCTGGACATGTCTTCAAAAGTAGCCATTGGTAATAGGACTTGTCTGAGATAATATCTCTACCTTTATGAAACAGGTGCGCATATCACCTCATTTCCTCTGCCCTATAAATTTCAGAGACCGTGTAAAAAAGATGCTGGAGACTCACATCCTGATTTTGGTACTTCCTGTTGTACCACGGACAAGCTACTTCGCTCCCTCTGCCCACTGCTTTAGATAACAATACACTGTTTTCATAGAGCTATCGGATTAATTAGGACAATTTGTTCACAACAAGGGCTTAGATAGTGGCTGGCACACAATGAGTGTTATGAATGGATGCGCCTCCCTCCCCGAGTCATTTGTTGAATTCTGAACCATAAGTTGGTTTCCTGGATGGGGTGTTTTGAGGAGCCAATTCGATACTGAGGGTGGGGGCTCTCATGATTGGCATTAGTGTCCTTAAAGAAAGAAAGAAAAAATAAGACTACACAATGCTAGCAATCGCCTACCAATGAAGATGTAGACAGTCAAACTGATACAGTAGGAAACAGGCCCACAATGAATCTACAGGCATTTAATGTTAAACTCTACTGCTTTCGTATTGTGAGAAATACATCCCCGTTGTTTATAAGCTACCAAGTTTACAGTACTTTGCTCTAGCAAGCTAAACAGACCAAGACAGCAAGTCATTTAATACATGCAGAATAGTAGTCATGTTCTTTCTGGTGCTTTTAGCCCAGTGCCACGAAATTATTCCGCAGAAGAACTCAGGCATTGCACTTGCATGCTGAGCCACAGCTGCTGCATCACGAAAACGTAGGCATCTTCAAAACTTTGGTCCCATCTAACTTCCTGCTTTTTCCTTCCTAACTTCCAACAAAGACCCTCACCGGGCTGGACATGTCAAGGGCTAGAAGGTCACCACCCAGGTGCTGAGGCCAAAGGCCAGACACCTCTCTGAGTAGAAGTAAATGTTCCACGCCTAGATTAAATCATAATTGACTCGAGAGTCACTTCAGCCTCTGCAGTGATGGTGTTCATATGTCTTTTTGGAAAG